ACTAAGAGAATTCAATTCAAATAGGAAAGCACTAATCACCTCTAAATGACACTATACGGATCAAGCTAAACAGGTCTAACTAAACCCAACATGACTTACAAGAATCTCTAAACTAAGTGTCATACAACATCCTGCAAAAGGTTATCTATCAAAACCACTATTTTTGTTTTTGACACAAAACCCTACCACACACCTAATAATCAAGTGCTTCTATTTTATATTTGGAGTGGGGTAATTTAAGAAAATTCCTCAATGAATAAGCATTATAAAGCCTTTCATTAAGAAATCTTCGCAAAACAAAACAAAAAAAATCTCGATATAAGACAATTCGCAAAACTCGTGATAAGACCTCTCGACACAAAAATGACTAACAAAACTTTCCAACATGAAATCAAATATAAAACAAATTTGAAACATCCCTCGTTTGAAGATTACCTATAAAATCGTAGCATAAACTATTTTCAAACCTCTCCCATCACGAATCCAATCACAAAGCTCCTCGATAAAAACAAATCAATATAACATGGCGAGAAACTTACACATAACTTACTCTTAAAGCAATTCGGAAGCCCAAAACGGTGGAAAGCTGCATATATTTCATTCCTACAACAATCCGGAAACTTAAAACTGCACAAATCTGCACTCATCTCGCCCCCAAAACAATCCGGCGGCCAAAAACAGTGAAAAAACTGCAAGTATAACATTCCTACAACGATTCGGAAGCTCAAAACATTAAAAATCTGCATGTATTTCACTCCAACAGCAATCCGGAGGTTAAAAACAGTGAAAAACTGCATGGGTTTGTTTACAAAATCAGTTTGCAGCATGAAACCAGTGAGCAAAATAGCATTTAACTTGTTCCCAATCAACTTAGAACATAAAACATTTAAATTCTGCACTTGTTTTGTCTTCAAAAGGTAGTTTGGAAACTAAATAAAGCAAATTCTGCATTTTTTTTATCACAAATCTGCATATCGAATTAAATTTAACTCATAAATGAACCATAAAGCACATGAATCTCCTCCAACATAAAGCGAACAAAACCTCTTCCAACACGAAGCAACTCAAGAGATGTTCCGACATGAACTAAATACCATGATTTTTTATATGAAATGAATCATAAAGGCATCTCAACGTAAAACAACTCACAAGTGTTTCCGATATGAAATAACTTGTGACATTTCCAACTCAAAGACAACTCATGGAGCTTCTTCAACCAACTTACAATTAATGAGGTGCAAAAGAAATGTATTTGAAAACTACATATGCAACTACTAAACACATACTAAACAACTTTTCCTGATCCCAGAAGAGCCATCGCAATAAATTCATACACCTTTAAGGATGAAAA